TGTTTAAACTGTAATGATGCTGCTCTGAGGTAATCTGTCTTTATAATGGTATTCAGTCGAATGAGCTAAATTACCTCTATGGTGTGATGAAGTGAAATGCAGCTGACAAAACATAATAAATCAAATAAAAGTAAGACTATCCTCTCTGTCTTGAAGTAAGTCATTATAAAGATCTACAGCTCATGAACTCTAATTTACAGTGAACAGAAGGTCTGTGTCAGAAAACACTAATATCCACACAGAAGTAGTGTATTTTTATGGTGCATGCAAATTCAATTATGAGATATGGTATTTTAATTTCTGGAGCAGCCATCAAAGCTATACACAAGGAACACCAAATTATACTGACTTTCTCTACTTTGCATTTAAAATGGAATTACTCATTTCCCTATAGGTAGGGGGAGGGTGAAAAGAATTTTGGCTGCTTCTCTTCAACTTAAGCACACAGAGTGCATTCATGAAAAAATCCTTTTGGCCTTTCTTTGTTAGATCAGCAGGGCAATCTTACCTCAAATACTTCTAAATTTATTTTTAATTAGGAATATTTAAGGAAAACAGGACTACTTTCACAAATGATTCCTCTTTGCATTGATATGTTGGCAATCAGATGCATGCATCTTGTATCATGTGATAAAATCTCTATCCTTGGAGGGTTTTAAGGCCTGTCTTGACAAAGCGTTGGCCAGGGTGATCTAGTTGGGAATGCTCCTGCTTTGAGCAGGGGGTTGGCCTAGATGACCCCCTAAGGTCCCTTCCAACCCTAATTTTCTATGATTCTATGATTTAGGAGTACAGTATCACTACACAAATGACATACAGCCAACAGTCTAAGACAGGTCAGCAATCTGCAGCATGCAGACCAGATAGGGCCTGAAAAACAATGTGATCTGGCCTGTGAAGAGTTGATTGGGTCTGGCAATAGTTGGCAATGGAGGTGATCAGTGGTATACAGCCATAGGGATAGAGATTGGCACCATGTGGCACCAGCAGATGGGTCACACAGTGGCCGACTCTCGAGCAAGCTGCATCAATTCAGCCTGTCATTTGTAAAAGGGTGCTGGCCTCTGATGTAAAGCAATGATTCTCCAACAGTCCAGATGATGACAGTTGTTTGCATAAAATATTTGGGTAATGTTTGGAATAACTTTTAAAGAATTCAGGAGATGTTTGTAAATAATTTGCAGGCACAAAAGGGGCTGTATTTACTTAGCAATTTGTTGTGAACAAATTATCTCATGAACACTACTGATATCTAACTTCAGTCCCATTTTGCTTTACTGATTAAAAACTTTTGTGACGTTTGTTTTCTGTTGAACCTAATTAGTCCCCAGACATGTAAGCAACATTTAATTCTATCTGCTAACCAGCCAGAAAGAGCTATCAATTTATCAATTTAGCATTATATGGTTCCTCAATGGCTAGTTGATATATTAAATTTAGATGCTTGAATCTAAAAATGTCTAAGTAACTATTTCTCTATTTGAGAAGTATTTGTGTTGCGTTCTAAACAGGATATAACTGAACACCATGTTCCATCCATGACCTGGGAAAAGCAGCTTAGACTATATGAAAGTATTCAAACTATTCAATGTTCTTAATTTAAATTATCTTACGTAGCTGTAATGCAGGACAAATGTCACATTTACCTGACATTCAATAAGGGTTGAACGCTAAGATACAGCATTAGTCCCAGAAATATTATCTGAACTTTTCATTAACTTTTCAATTACATGCTATGGGCTGGTAGTACAGTCTCCTCCTAGAGTTAGCAAACCATTTTGCTTTACGGTAACAGCAAGCATATTTCTGTTTATCCTTTGATGTTAATGACTTAAAGATTTACAGAAGATGGACACGCTAGAATTATTTTGCCATGCTCTTGGCAGAATAATTTAATGTACTATTTCCATGTGAAATAAAATCCTAAATCATTAACTTAATTAGAATTGCTAGTCAATTAACACTAATTGCTAGTGACCCTGAGGCTTTGCAGTTTACTGATGGTGTTAATACAAATGATCACATGAACATCTTCTATATCAAGAAAACTTTTGTATTAAACATGTTAACTGTCATAGCTATGGTCTAAATGAAACAGCTGAACTTGTGTTTTTTTGCAGTAAGCTACATGGTATCTTTTATATTTATCCCATTTAAGAAAAAAGAAAAGCTCATTTCTTGTTTTCAAATTAATCTTTCTGTTAGAAGACACATTATCAAATTTTCATGCATGTTACATTGACTATTCTGTTATGATCCCCTTCGTATTCCAGCTACATGGAGCATAAAAAATCCAAGATATCCCCCCCCACCCCCCCAGGATTTTGGGAGGAAAAGAGGTAAGCAGAAGACAAGCTACAGAGGGACAAGAGGTAAGGCGTAGGGCTCAGAGCCACTCCTCTTACTTAACTATGCAAGACTTAGCTACAATAAGCCACATGGCTCCCAAGAATAACCCCTCACCTCCTTCAGTCATGTGGTATAGTGTTAGACCTGAAAAGTTATGAGCCAGTAAGAGAAGAGGTGCAAAGCTAGACATAACAACAGGAAACGGTAAAGCTAAGAAGTCCTCTGGTGTCAAGACCACCAGTCTAGCTGAACCTTTCATTTCAGCTACCTGGCGAAGGCTACTGTTTGGTGGGAAGAGCAGAAAGCAATATGCTTGCACCCCCAAAAAACCCAAGGCAAAACTAAACACCTAGTAAGTTTACACTAACTTGTAAACTTGCATAATGTCTTCTCTCTCATGTCTCTAGCTAGATAGCAAACTTCACAAAGCAGGAACTTCCTAGTTCTTTGTACAATACCTAATATAATTTGGTCTGAAGAATTTGAACACTAATACAAAATGGATATATGATAAACAGAAATAACACTATTTAAGTAGGGTGTATGTTAGGTAATATAGGAAGGTATATTAAGGAAAAGGTTTCAATTTTGGAGAATATTATGATAAAATTTCAACTCAACTTGATATTACAGTCTCAATCACATTAATTCATAATAACATTCCCTTAGAGAGACGTAGTGAGTAAATCTTTTAATTTATGTCTCTTTAGTTTTCCTTTTGTTATGTCTGCAGAAAGTAGCCATGAGCAATGGTTAGGACTGTTCAGACTTTCCTTAAATGTCATGTTATCAAGCAATTCAGAATCACACTTCTGTATAGAAAAAAAATGGAATTCCTCTGTTGTGGTTATTCTCCTAGAATTCTTCCAAGATTATTGTCTGTGTATGAGTGAGATCTCCTGATATCCAAGAAAACCTTAATTGTAAACCTGTGGTTTTCTTTTCCCACTAGACAGGGAATAGATATTAAAATAGTCACATCAGAGCTTTTGCTTTATTCAGAGGTCACGATATACTGGGCCTGAGTCAGTACTGTGATACTCCCAATATTATACTTTCACAGTTCCAAATCAGTGGTGAGTCAGGGTCAATAATTATACTGAATGTAACTCTATCCATCATAAGCCTGAAGCAAAATAGTTCTCTTTTGGGGTTCAGAAACTATCCTTAAATGCAAATATGATAAAGAAAAAAATTTCTTAATATATTTTCCACCTATACTTTAAAATCTAGGTTATTCGCTAATGAAAGTGCCAACTAATACATGTGTTAAAAAGTTTAAGGTTTTCTTTTAAAGTTCAAATAAAAACTCAATTTTCCATCCTTCAAAAAGAAAAGAAAAACAAACTTGGCTGGCATTTACACTCCTCAGATAGTCAAACGTATGTAAACTAAGTACTGATGCTCATGTATACTAACACATCTAGAATAAGTCATACCAGCACAGGGACCACATTTGGTCATGTATGCTGTAAGTCTAACTTAGGGCAGAATATAACTGCAAGTTTCAGATCCGTCCCCATTCAGAATGGCACGTGTGCAGATAACTTGAAAGAGATGTTGAGCATGTGCTTAAACTGGTACGCTTATTGGAGTTATGCTGTGAATAGGGGCACTTTCTTTAATCACGGACTAAATAATAAAGAGGATTGTAAGGCTGTCAGAAAATCATGCTAAAAGAACTTCAAGTGGACAAACCAAAAGGTGCAAAGCTTTGATTAGATGTCATAGCTGGGTGGCTACTTTGCCCATCTCTGTATGAAAGTCCAAATACTTATGCTCCCTGTTTTGAAACTGGGGAAGGACTTGAAGGGTTTATGTTCTGAACCTGTTGATACCTAAAATGGCCCATAGTCCCTAGGCCCAGTGACTCTCGTTTATACAGAGCAGACAGAATTTAATCCTTTTGCAGCACTCTGCCCATGCCAATTAGTAAATAAACTGAGATTTTCCCACACAGCAATTCAGAGCACATCACTGATAATTAAATTTGCTGCCTACTGTTTTAAGGAGAAATATATACATGTTTTACTTTTAAGTACTGACCTATGTAAATATTTTACAAATATCAGAGAACATTCTTAGCTGTAGTAGGAATACAACACTCATTTATATTGAATGATATTACGTTATACAAACCCAACACATATACGAAGCATGGAGCATGCTCATGCATGTGCTTCTTTCCCAGTCATTTTACTTATATGCTGTTTCCTTTCTCTTGCCCTTCACCTTATATTCCTACATGACTATAAGAAATATGGGGGCAAAGATTGACTTTTCCCACTTGTCTGTTTAGCTCTTATTACATGAGGTGCTATTTTTTGGAAACTGGTTGTAGCATATTTAGCAAATAACATAGCTCCCCTTTGCTAACATGGACCAGTCTGGTAACAGTTGCTAAGAAGAGAAAAATAAGATCAATACTGCTGCTTGCACCTTGTTTTCTTTCCTGTTTTATTTCCTGTTAGCATTTTATTTTGGATTATTCCTCTACTTATTTTGAACACTCATTAAGATGGATAAACACAGATGAAACATATCTGATTGAAATGTATCTAAGAAAACCAAACCAAACCAAACCAAACCCCAACTCTGCCCTCTTTGTGTTTTCAATAGGCTGTAATTCCAGAAGGAGAAGTAGATCATACCTGTATAACCAGTTTTGCAAACACAGTTGAAGCTCCCCGGGAAGTTCTGGCAGATGGCACCATTTTTACAAGGACTGGAAAGACACTCATTGATATCTCTCTCACAGGCCATTCCAGTGAAGCCATCGGGACAACTGCATGAGAATCCACCCACCAAGTTGTGACAAGTCCCATTGTTGTGGCAGGGGGATGGGAGGCATTCATCAATGTCAGTTTCACACAAATTCCCATCATATCCTGGCAAGCATCTGCACACAAAGGGCTGGAGAGGTTCATTTGCCATGATGATTACTGGAATGCTCTCATGGCTCTTTAAAGCAGGACTCACAGCTAGCCTTCTCAAGCAGCTTCCTCCATTTTGACAAGGGTTTTGTATGCATGAATCATGATCCACAGATTCTATCCGTACTCCACTCTGCTGGAAAAGGATTTCTTTGATGCTCTCAAAGAAAGTAGCCACACCACTGGGATTCACATACAGATTATTGTTTCGTTTCACAGCTGCCATCAGAAAAGTCCTGTTACTGTCTTCATAGACTCCATAGAGCTGCACAGCAGTTCCTAATCCAGTTAGCTGTGAATTGGCAATACGAAGGAAGTGAAGATAGTGATTGGTCAGAAAATCCTTCACAGTATGCACACTTAGGCGAAGAAGGATGCTGTTGTCAATTGTGCCATTATTGAACCCCGCAAAGAAAACTCTAACACTGCTAGTAACTGCACTATGTAACCCATCATTGCTAAGGACTGTCAGATCAAATGTTCCATCTGTGGATCTTGCCTGGGAATTGAGGTCACATGTACCCCCAGGAATATTAAAGAGGCTTGTAACCCCTGAAGTAAGAGAACAATGGAAGCTGTCTAACACATCTGGGTCCTGTGGTTTTACATTGCCTAAAATACCACCAGGGAACAGGTTGCCATAATAGTGAACAAAGATTTCTACTGTTCTAGGTTGTGATGGGTTGTCATTTTGGTCTACTACTTTTATTTGTACGGTTCCTGTGGAAGACATCTGAGGAATGCCAGAGTCCCTAGTAATCACTGACAAGAAGAAGTCGCTAATTTGTTCTCTATCAATCTCTCTAGTTGTGGTCAATACTCCTGCAGTGCTAAGACTGAAATAACTGGTTGCTGGGCCTGTACTGAGCAAGTAGTAGGAAAAGGGGCCTTGATTTGGTGGGAGATCAGGGTCTGATGACTGAAGTGTCATCACAAGTGTTCCTGCACGATTATTTTCCATTACTTCCCCTTGGCTTGTAGACAGGGTAGGTCCATTATCATTGATATCTTCCAAAGTTACCAATAAAGAGGCACTTCCTGTAGCTGATGGAGATCCTGAATCAATTGCTAAGACAGTCAGATTGTACACAGGTAATGTTTCTCGATCCAATTCTGCTGTTACAGTAACTTGTCCCGTCTGTGGGTTAATGGAAAAGGCACCGTTGTCATTCCCAGAACCAATAAAGTAGGAGAACCTGCTCCAGCTAGGGACAGAGTCTGAATCAAATGCACTTACAAATGTGACATGGGTACCTGGAGGAACACCTTCACTGATCTGTATATTGTAGACCTCCAGACTAAAAACGGGAGGGTCATTAGCATCCAATATAGTGATATTAACAATTACTTCATCTATATCAGCACCACGAATGCTCCCAAAATTTTTTGCAAGAACTTTCAAAGAGATACGCTCTTCCTTTTCCCTGTCAAGAGGACCTGACACATAAATCTGACCACTCCTCCCATCAATCTGGAAACCCTTCTTTCTGCTATTGCCAAAAATAAGATAGTGGACTTCTCCATCAGTTCCCAAATCACGGTCACTTGCAAAGACTTCTCCCACAACTGTTCCTCTAGAGGCTGCTTCAGAGACTTCAAAATAGTAAAGCTTGGACACAAAACGTGGCACATATTCATTTGTTCCTTCCAACTGGATGTTGACACTTGCAAAACTGCATCTTTCCTCATCTGGAACGTTAAAAGCCTTCACAGTTAGATGGTAACTTTGCTTTGTTTCATAATCTAAGAAGCCTTGTGTGGTGATGATTCCTGTGTTGGGATCAATGACAAAGAGGTCACTATCTGATGACTGAATTGCATATGCAATCACAGCATTAGGTCCAGAATCAGCATCAGTTGCATTTAGACGGATAACAGTCGTTCCACTTGGAGCATTTTCTAATACATTAGGGAAGTAGTCTTCTGGGCTGAAAGCTGGAGAATTATCATTTACATCAATTACGTTAACTGTGACAGTACAGTAACCTGTTCTAGCTACCCATCCTCCATCTGTAGCACTAACAATTATCTCATGCTTTTGGTATAGCTCATAATCAAGGGATTTGGCAAGAGTCAATGCCCCAGTTGATGTATTAATAGAAAAGATACCAGCCTCATTTCCTGAAGATATATTATATTTGATTAATCCATTCATAGCAGCATCCCTATCCCTTGCTGATACAGTCCTGACAATAGCTCCAACAGCATGACTTTCAGGGATAGTAATACTCATGTGGCTTTGAGAGAACACAGGTGTGTGATAGTTCTCCTCGGTTATAACTATTTCAACCGTCACTTCTGCTGAAAGTGGGGGATTACCTTTATCCTTAGCTTTTACCTTAATCAGAAAGTCTTGATTCAGATCAGCCATCAGTGAAGATGCCACAGAAATCCAGCCAGTTCTGCTATCTAGCTTAAATTTATTGGTGTTGTTTTCATTAGAAATAAAGTATCCCACTTCAGAATTCAGTCCAAAGTCCTTATCATCAACTGCAGTGACTTTAATTAAGTTGGTACCAATTCCTACATTTTTAGTCACAGGCGTAAAATATTTGCTAGCAAGAAACCGCGGTGCATTGTCATTGCTATCCACTATGTTGATTGTGACTGTTGTTTCACTTAGCAAAGGAGGACTACCTCGATCTGAAGAAGTAACTATGAAACTGTGCCTGTTGATATTGAAATTGCTTGAACCACTGGAGTTCTGATACTTTAAATACTGCTTATTGAAAATCTCCCCACTGGTAGCATTGATTCGGAAGAACTCAGACTGAGATTTTATGAAGTAGAAGATTTGGCCATTAAATCCTTCATCGGGATCAGTTGCTGAAACCTGAGTTACCTTTAAACCAACTTCAGTAAGCTCAGGGCACTCTAGGTAATAGGATGGTTTTGTGAATCGTGGGGCATTATCATTGATATCTGTCACAAAGATGGTCACATCTGTGCTTACTGTCCACCCAGAATCGTGTGCAGAAACTCTCATTCTATAGCGGTCTGTATCTTCTCTGTTTAGAGGCCTGCTGACTGTAATATCTCCTGTACTTGGATTTATGACAAATGGAAGGCTTGGATCCCTTATGGAGTACCGGCTGATGGCATTCACACCGATATCTTCATCTGAAGTTGTGACTCGTGTAACTGTATAACCTAAAGGTGCGTTTTCAGGTACAGAAGCGCTGAATATCTGAGAAAACCTGGGAGCATTATCATTCTCATCCAAAATATTAACAATAACTTTGACCGTTGTGCTCTGAAGAGGGGTACCTTTATCAAAAGCTTTTACAGTTAGCACGTACTGGGCTAGCTTTTCCCTGTCTAAAGGTCTGATGCTTTTGATTTCACCAGTAGCCCGATTGATAGTGAAACTGTTTTCTTTATTGCCATCAATTATTTCATAATTCAACTGTCCATTTGGGCCACTGTCCTTGTCTACAGCAGTGACAGTCAGTATTTTGCGTGGTGAAAGATTCTCTATTATTTCAGCAATGAATGGATCTTGCTCAAACTCTGGTGCATTATCATTGACATCCACCACGGTTATTTCTAGTTTTTCATAAGAGGAGAAAGGAGGAAAGCCCATATCTCTGGCCTCGATCCAAACCACATATTTCTGTATAGCTTCAAAATCCAAAGATTGACAAATAGAAAACTGTCCTGTTAGCTGGTCTATCTGGAAGGTGTTGCCCAGATTACCACTAGCGATGTAGTAAGACAAGGAACCTCCTCTAGATGAAGACCCAGAAACAGTGGTGACAAGGGTACCAATTGCTTGGTTTTCAGGGAACATGAAAGTGTGTTGTTCTGCTTGAACTTGAGGGAACTGTGCTTTATTCATGAACCTCACAGTTACAGTAGTCGAATCTGTCTTTGGATACAGTCCACCATCTTTCACATGAACAGAAAAAGTCACTTCAGAATCACCCGTCAGCGAGTCAGCAGCCATAATAGCTCCTCTTGTTGGGTCAATGTGGAATTTTTCAGAGTTCCTTCCCCTGAGGGAATAATGAAGCTCAGCATTGGGTCCAGAATCAGCATCTGTAACTGTTACGGCAAACACAAATGAACCTGCAAGGAGAACAATGACAAGATTATTCGTAATCTTCAGCAATAAAAATAGGACAAATGAAGGTAATTTTTCAATGAGGCACAGGGAAATTATGTGGACCAGCTGTGTTATATTTTCTTATATATGGTTGTAAAAAAATAATCTTTTTTTTTTTACCTACAGTATTAATAAATATCAGACTAAATGTTCACCAACTGAAGGCCATTCTGAGTGATCACAAAAAGACATGATTTGTACCTGACAAATAGGTAAGCGCATTGAAACATTTTTAAACATATGTACAAAAATTTCTGTGTGTATATGTAAATGTGGTCATATATGTATACATGTATACAAAACACCGCATCAGTAAGTAGGCTTTAACTTTTTGAAACTTTACCATAATTTTTCTGTAGTACTCACAAGATAAGATGTGAAAACTCAAAGTCTAATGCTTGCGTGCTACTAGATAATATTTTAAATTATTAAGCAATCTTTTATATGTCTTGCATATCCAGCCTTTCAAAATGTGTATGCCACTACTCCAAATCACATGTACAGTTTAGGGTTTCATATGAACATATTTCTCAGTAAATGCAAATCCAATGTGTGCACAGGCATTAGAGTCATGTATACATTCTTCTGAAGGTTTCGTATTATATGCCTAGTATGCTGGAACTCCTTTTTTTCAAAATTAGTGCTGAAACTTGGCTCTCAACAGTTTTCTAATGGATTTTCTTTTCCCAACTTTGCAAGCAAAATCTGCCTTTTTTGGACAGGAATGGCTTTGACAGTGTTCCTTAAAGCATTATTTCTTGTCACTGTGTGTCAAAGTGTAACATTTTGTATCCTAAAGGGAGAAATTGCTAGATGAACAACTGGAATACTTGAGAGTGACAAGACTGCAAGAAAAATCAAGAGTTCTGCTTTTGTTAAGCACATTAAATTGTCATAACCCTCCTTTTGTTTATTTTGTAAACTTGACAAGACATTAAAGAAATCAGGTTATATTATCCTCTCAAAATACAAACTAAGACTACTCTGAAGTAAACATAGCACAAGAATATACACAACTGTCCTGGAGAGTCAATATCAGTTTGCAGCAAAGCAGTATTATGCCTGCCAATAAAAATATTGTCAAGGGCTATTTTCCCTGTTTAGAGGAGTTAAGACATTTTCTTTTTAATTGAAATGTGCCACATGAATGATCAATTTTGGGATATTTGAAAAATAAATACTTTATGTAAATTTATTAGATATTAAGTCAGAGTAAATATTAAGACTTTTTCCTTTTTTTATTTATAGAAGGCTTTATAACTTAAAAAAAAAAAAATGGAATAATGAGGCTGGAAGGGACCTCAAAAGATCTTCTAGTCCATCCCTTGCTCTAGGTGGGATATTCTCTATTTAAAGCATCCCAGACAGATGCTAGTCTAGCCTGGATAAATTTGGCAGCACATTATTTTGGCTAAATTAATATGTAGTCTGCATAAAAGTATGAAAATAAATTCTCAGAAAGAAGTCTATGTGTTAGTGATCTTAGTTAAATAGGGTGCTTCTGGAATGGTTATATTAATCAGTTTTTTAATATATAATTTCAAAGGCACATAACTTAAAGATTTTTGGAATTAACTCCATCCCTCTATATTCCAGCGTCTTTACAAGAGGTTGTAAAGAACTCAATAAACTCACTAATTAGACATGCATTATTTATGTCTCCTCATGACACTCTAAAATTAAAGACTGACGTGAACTTTTCATTCTGAATAAATTCCAAAAGTACCTATCTTTTAAATGTAAACTATTAATGAAAAATTAAACATTTTATGCTTTTGCACTTCTGATTTACATACTTGCCACATTTGTTTAAACAAACTGAATGAACAAGGAATCCAATCCTATACTAGTGAGAAAAATGTGGACTTCAAGCATACAAAGCATCATAAGGTGAGAATGAGATTTGACTTTTTAAAAGATACCAGAAAATCAAAAGTATAATTATAATTATAATTAAAATACAATGTAGAATATAAAAATCATAATATAATATCAAATGTATTATATATTATAATTATAATATTATAATATTAGTGTTAATATAATAATATAGCAGCATATTATATTATCTTGTAATAGTGTATTGCAATTAAAATATATAATAATTCAACTTTAATATCAGTAAGATTTCTGATTCATGAAATATTTCTAGAGCCTTCTCAGAGAGAAAGAGTGAAAGGGCGAGAAGAGAAGAGAAGAGAAGAGAAGAACTAGGCCTAGGGTGAGTGAGGATTTAGTTAGGGAGCTTCTGGAGGGGCTAGACATTTTTAAGTCAGCCGGCCCGGATGATCTTCACCCGAGAGTCCTAAAGGAACTGGCTGGGGTCATTGCAAGTCCCCTGGCGCGGCTTTATGAACACTCGTGGTGCTCTGGAGAGGTGCCGGAGGACTGGAAGAGGGCCAACGTGGTTCCCATCTTCAAAAAGGGGAGGAAAGAGGACCCGGGGAACTACAGGCCAGTCAGTCTTACCTTGATCCTGGGCAAGCTGTTCGAGAAAATTATTCTGGCACACATCCAGGAGGGGCCAGCAG